GAACGTCTACCCGCCTACCTGACGTTGAGGCGACGCGACGCGAGGCTTGTTGATGTCGCTACCACTACCACTAGGTAAGGGCACAGAAAAAAGGCAGTGGTGTAGGCCATCCACCAATGCTGGAATAGCAGTCGCTAGCGTCCTGCTCCATAACCAACAGAGCATTGAATTCAGGCGATGCAATCCAAAGTCGGGTTGAAACACGAAGGATTAGTGATCAAGGAGAGCAAATCGAGCAACTGCAACATGCTCCGCGGTGAAGGCGGGGTTTGTAGTCGCAAAGTCATCAGGCAATGTCTCCCCTCCACGCCAACGTCGTTCCAACCTTGCGATGTGTAGACACAGCCTACAAGCACAGGCACAGATATGCACATGCAGAATAGTACCTCAGATAGCGCACATATCCGCAGATGCAAATGCGGGCTCGATCTGACGGTGCACGTAATAGATTGACAAGTCGGGCCCTGGTCAAGAATCAGAGGTCAACCATTCCCCTGGGCCCCGAAGCCGAAACCGCAGCCGCCGCCGCCGCCGTGGGTGTGGGCTTGGGCTTGGGCATAGCGACAGGCAATGTCAATCCCGGCGCAGCTCCCATTTTCGCATTTGTGAAATGTGACTGTTTTCCGTACATACTACGCAGTACATACGGACTTTCTGGGGCTTTGATGCTGTTCTGTTTTTGAGCTCTGTGGATTCTTTCAATGCACGGGTTCGTCAGATCATTCGCATCGACGACAGCATGGTTCTTGCCGGGGAGATTGTTGCACAGAAATTGCCGTGTAGTAGTTGGCGGGGTGCATGTAATTAGATCCCCGACAAAAGTGCCCGTCTCCGTTCTTTGTCTCTCTCTGGGCCAAATTGAATTGTCAGTCATCTGCCCGGGCGGACATGCGAACATGTCCGGCCCCACTGCAACTCGGCCCATCTGCCAAGACTACCGCAGTAAGGGCCAAGACGACGTGGAGGGCCGACGCCAATGTCTCCAATGGCGGGCGAGTCCAGGCCCAGCTGCGATCGCCTTCACCTTGCCATCACCTCGCCATGTTATTTTGCTGTTGGAGATGGACAGCGAGGTGAGGTGCGGTCCCTAGATGTCCGCACCGCGCATCATTCTAGTCTACCTTAGTCTGGTTGCTGGCCGTTGCGGCCCGTCTGTTTCCATGTAAGGTAGTGAGTGCGCTTGCGCAGCATTGGATCCATCCGTACTGCTGCTAACAATCACGGATACATACCCTTACGGACTCGAGTTGAATCGAGTCGCATCGAGTCAACAAGCCATTCACCGCTCATCACGCATCACAAGTGTCCGTCGCCAATCCGACTGTCCCGTCTGTACCGTTCGAGCTCAATGCCGCAGAAGCCGCAACATCCATCCAATCAAGCGGTGCCGTTGACAAAGTCGAGAAAATATTGCAACTCCACCTCATAAACCCGCCCGCGGTGCATCACAGCCTCAAGCTAGCGAGGCCAAAGACGGCAAGGATCAGTCCGATCCACCGTCGACCCACTTGAAATGGCTGATTGAAAAGAAATAAAGAAAAAGACAGGGCAGATTAGGGTGGCGCCGGTGGGTGTCCTCAGAAGAAGCTGCGGCACTTAGTAAGCTACCTTACCTACTACTAGGTACTGTAGATACGTACACTTCCCAGGTATTCTGGGTCGCGTACAGAGTACATAGCAGAGGTATCCACCCTGTGCCCTACCCTGCTCTTGCTTGGCCCCTCAATGCCGATCAGGATCCCCCATGCATCCCATCCCATCCATGATCCAACCCCATTGCGCTGCCTGTTTGCCATTCTGGCTGGTTCTGGTCGTAGTTCTGGACCCAACTCCAGGGGTCCAAACCCAGCCACGGGGGGGAGGGGGGGGGAGGGGGCCGGCGGATGAAGAAGAGCCCACGGAAAAAGAAACCAAACTTGCGATCTCACAATCTGGAGTTCGCGCTAGCGGCCCAACTCGACAAGGACCCCGACTTGCCAAGCTTCCAAGCGCTTGTATCCGTGAGGTAAGTCCGGTACGTAGCCAAGCGTCCAAAGGCATTCGTACGCTAGCGTGTATCCGCACTACCTTACGCTGCACTGCAATTCCCTTGAACCTGCCGACATCATCGCCGGCACCACACGTCAGACAGTACTGTTACTGGGCTATTCTGCAGCGCTGTCCCTCATGCTCGAGCAATGGTGTATGTACTGCATAGTAAGGTAGTGTAGAACTCGACTGTTCTTTCCTCATTCTTCTCTGTCCCTCCCTTCTGCCTCGCCTCGCCTCGTCTCATCTTGCCTTGCCCTACCCGGAGCGGCCAAAGGTTGTGGTCGATCGCCCCTTGGGCACAATCACCACCTCCTTCTCACCTAACTGCCACCCTCACGGTGCTACGTATGGTATTTGCAATTTGACGGAGGGAAATGCGCTACCCCGTCGATGCCGGCACTGCTATCCTCCCACTTCACGCATAATGAACCACTCGCCGTCCGTTTCGCCAGTATCTTGGGTTCCTATCTCGCTTCCTCGTCACCTCGGTTTTTGGTTTTCGGTATGGCTGATCCAACCACGAGCAAGTTGAAACCGTGTCACCGCCAGCAATCACCAACCCCATCCTTCCCGTTCCTTAAGTCACCACATGCCTTAATTTGCTGCGGCGGCAAGCCAAGTTAGGGGGTGCCAGAAGGACTGCGACCAAGCTGCCCACTGCTGCCCGTCACCTCTCTGGGGTATGCAGGCAATCGGCCACTTTCCCATCGTCCCGTCCGCCACCCCTACGCACATCTATTGCTCCCATATTGCCCCCTCCTCTCCCTGGTCTGTCACGGTTCTGCAGTGTATTGGTATCGTCTTTGGATTTGACACTGTGCTTTGTGTACCACGGTGGTGTAGGTATGCTGCGCGACCTGCCCAGTACGACCCATATCCAAATCACCGGATTCAACCGGTATGTGGACTGCCATGCCCTCGGTATCATGGAATACCTAAATGTGCGTCTCGCACTTGTACTAATCCATATTGCGAAACCAGCATATCCGTACCCGAGTTGAACATATTACTCCGAATCTTCTTAGCTTGTTATGGATACCCAGCTAGACGCTAGCCTTCTTTTTCCTTTTTTTTTTTTTTTTCTTCTCCCTCTCGCCCGCTCCCCGTCCACAACCTACCAACAGCTGCCACTACATGCTGTGATCCATCTCATTGCGACTCACGTATGGGTAGGTACGTACAGTGCACTTTTTTGGCCCCCATGCCATCCAAGCGGGACATGCAAACCGCAGATTCACTAGGCCATATCGTTTAATAGACGCTAGTCCTTAAAATCGGCAGCACAGCAACGCTTGACCAAGGCACGAATAGGCGCGATAGGTAGAACCTGTAAAAATGCTGAGGTCCCGCCATCGGAGGGCTAATTAGCCCGGCCGACCCGGAGTTTGCTCCAGGTTGAGACGACGCCATGCCATCTGTGAAGATCCATGTCCGTGCTGCACTTGCCTGCTCTCCCTTTCCTCTGCATCCCTTTGCCGCGCCCCCCTAAACAGCATAAACACAAAGCTGATACGACTGTCGCTGAGGGCCATTTGTCTATCGTGCACGTTCGGACGCTCTTCCGCCAATTGCCAGGGGTGTCTCAGCTGAATCACACCCCCTCCCTCTCGCTTCGTCCCTGGTCCCACATCCCTGGTCAATCGGCCTTCATGAAAAACCAAGGCCGGCTGGCTGCCGATTCATCTGACGTGTAGAGCCCCGCCGGCACCTTCATCGGAATGGGCATCGTCGTTCCAAACGCTTCATCGAAGCCTGGTGATTCGCCTTGGCGTCGCTGCCGCCGGTGCTGGTGCTGCGGGTTTTCCTCATCGCCCTCCTTTCTGTCGCGACCCATTTGAGTCTGCGCCCGCGCCCGCTCCAGCGTCTGGGCACCTTGGTCGGCACCTTGGTCGGCTCCCCGCTGTGTCCCAGAATCCGCGCAGCCCGCCGTCCTGCCCACCGCGACCAACACGCCGCACTCCCAGTTGCGACAGGAGAGCTTGGCCGTTCCCGACTCCCGGTCCTTCACTAACCGGCCCCTAGATTCCAATTTAGGTCAGCCTTATGATCGATCCACGTCGTTTCGTCACGTCCTGCTCAGACGGCATATGGTTCCTCTGGCCCCTCCCTCCCCGGCCTTTTTACTACTGCGACGTTGGTGTCGCCTATCACCAGGCCTCGCGATGACTTACCATGCACTCTCTGACAAGTTTGCGCTCCCCATGTATGCCCAGACCGCACCGTTGCACGCTCGTTCTCGCACGAAAATGGCCTTGCTATGCAACAGCAGACCTGTTCGGGTGCTTTCGCAATCTCGCAGTAATTCTCGCGGAAAGGTGGAAGACTTCCACCACTTCTCTTGCATGCAAATAGTGCCGGCAGCCTGATTAATGACGCGAAATGAGCATTCTCAAAAGACAGGGGCATTTGGGCACCAGGATCGACCGGCGCCGCGGCGATCCCGGCCGGGACATACTTACAGATCTACCGCCTCGGCTGCTCGAAACGGTCTTTTCGGTCGGGAAATAAATACGGAAATGATGCTGCAAATCGACCGCTTCGGCGGTAATTGTTCTAGAACCGGAAGGACCTGACCTTCCGGCCTTGCTTCTGGTCGACTTGGACTGTCTCGCTTCGTATTCCTTCATGCCCGAATCACCTACAAGGGTGCCGCGGGGTGTTAGTCCGCTGATCACCCCGTCAAGTCTCGACAGGTTGAGTGCAACCACACGTACCTTGACAAGCATTGTAAATAGCTGTCAAATAACCATGGTTCAGAGATCCCAGCGAAGAAGCCTGATGACAAATTGCTTAGCGAAACCCCCTTGTCAAACTGCCCGCCAAGAGCTGGGAAAATTGTTCAGCCTACATACCACGTAGTCAACGTCGACGGGATAGTCGGTTGCTAACCCCAAACTACGAGCAGTGTTTCCGAGTCCACAGTAGCCTAATTTTAAACGGTCAGTTCTTATTTTGACACGCCACAAACATCAATTTCTGGCGCCTTGGGGGGTATGCTGACCTGTGTGTTGCCAAGAGTCATTCGCATGGCTCCCGGAACTGCGGATTGAAGTCAGCTGTCAGAGTCGATGCCATCTTTGCCGGGACCCTCGTTCGATTGACTGACATTGTATGGACAAATCCGTAGCGACTCGTTTCGGAAAAGTCGTAATTGTCAAGGCTCTTGACCAGTTTCTCACCAATACCAAGAGCTGTTAGGAAGCGCCGCAGCTCCTTTCCAAACAGTGTCTCCGTACCGGCTGTAGTCTGCTGCGTCTCGAAGCGAGGCAGGTCGATGAGGAACACCATCTGCCAGTGTGAGCTAGGCCGTGAGGAGGATTGTGATGAATCGGGGGTGACAAACGTTTTCTAGAACACCCGTTTCTCCCCAATCGTAGGGAGCCAGATTGCCGGAAGGAACCACAAGTCGGAGATAGCTGCCATAATCTCAGTAGCTGCCGGTAGTCTAAAGAATGGAGACGTTTTACCCTTCATACTTTAGGATCTGCAACTTAGAATGCATATACCCGCCGTGCATGGGCGGGAAGCAGAATCTGATGAGCCCAGCAGGGGCGTTTGACCGAATCACTGCTTTCTGTAGGATACTGTCAGTGAACGTGTCATCGGTCACGGATAGGGGCTTTGTTGGCAGTTTTTCACGTACCTCTGCGTCGTTTGCTGCATACGCAACCAGCACCATCTTGGTGCGCCGACAGTCGATCTTCGATAGAAGCCACTCCTCATCCCATTGAAAAGAGGAAAGAACGGCGAGCTGCAGCTGCTCTTTTTGCAATACTTCTTCGATCTTGATATCATCGCCCGTCCTCGGGTATCCTCGTGCCCAGGTTCTCCTGAAGGCTCCCTTGGCGAAAGGTAGATCGAGGGCATTGGCTGCTTGCTCCTGTACCTTCAGAACAGGGGCAGCGTTTCTCAACTCTTGGCTGTCAGCGGCATCAGTCCGTTGAGATTTTGACGTCTGGAAGTTCTCGTCAAGGTCAGCTTGCGTGGCTGATCGTTTTCCCAGTCTTGCGAGACGTTCCTCTTCCATTTTTTTCCTGTCAAGAGCAAGGGACCCAAACGCAACACCAGTGGTAGGCTTGATGGACTGCTTTAATGGGATCGCTGGCGCATTAGATGCTTCCGATCGATTGTGAAGTGCGATGTCTTCTTGTTGCAAAGATAATGCAATGGCCAAGGCCAGATCCGGGTCATCTTCCGCATCTGGTGATGCAGAACGCGCTGGGTTGTATTCTGAACTCATAGTCGCGCGCAAGCCGCCAGAAATACGCTTTTCCGGACTGATTCAGTATTTATAAGGTGAGGAATTGAATACCAGAGTCTGTTCTGTGCTGAATTCGGTGTGGAATAAGTTGAACGTGGGCTCAAGGCAGTCGCGATACCATACAGCGTTTATTAATTAGGTCGGGTAGCTGTCGCGGTGTCACGTGCCTTCGTGATCAGATTGCTTCTTTGTTGCATACTCCCCCATTCTTTCCCCGCTTAGGTACATTAGATGCAAAGAAGCGCCGCTCTGTTGGTGTACAATTAATTAACTTAGCGCTCGTATCTGCTTGATTTCTTTACAATTTTTTCAGACTCCCAATGACAAGGGTGGAATTAGTATGTGACAGCTTGATAGTTGCACGATCAGGTAGCAAACACGACAGATCTAATGTATTCATGACTTGTCCCTGATTACAGTTGCTCGTCTCGTCACTGTCTGATACGCAGAGACTTATGGCAATACTTGCATTATTGCCTTCTACAGTCTCGTCGTCACGCTTGTGTATGTAACTATTTACGTCAAGAGCTTGGACATATTGGTCACAAGCTGCTGAGATGTGGACGTGGCTCTGTTTGCGTTTGTGGCTCGATTGTCTGATCCGTCACAACGACACATGGTAGCTGGACAAGTGGCGTTTCTTCTTATTGTGGTTCCCGGCAAGCATACCTAATTCAATTCCCCGCCTCCTCCCAGCCCCTTCGCCTCTGCCATGCCTTATCACGGTGTCAAGATGATAGGATGAGGGGGCTTGCATTCACCATACACGGCATCAGTATGATGGCCTTGGGCAACAGGGCAGAAACGAGTTGAAACCCGTGCAGCATCGAGAATCAAGGCTTCATCTCTGGCTCATCTAGACTGTATGGCATGCTGCGTATTGTGAATGTTTGCATCGGCCCAAAGTGGTATGGGCTGATCTAGCAAAGCACATCGCCATCCACAATTTACGAACTCGCTCGAGAATAGACCTCGAGGTAATGTCAGAATGAAACTCCGAGATCCAGCTGCGTTTACAACCGTACCGTATGAGAGCTGCCGCAGAAAATCCTATTGATATTCGTCATGCCCACCTTGCTTCCTGTCGAGTTCAAGCCGAGCTATTGCGTAGGACAAATACAACAAATTTCCCAAGAACGTTTATGCTCATCAACCCAATATCCAGTACACAGGGTAGAGTGATCGAGCTTACGGCCTTTGGAATAAAATACAGCATTCGCTCATATTCATGTATTCTCGATGTGCATCACACTGACGGGCATTTACAGCCAGTGGTCCCTAGACAAGGTAGACTGTTCGTTTGTAATAGAGTATGATATACCTTTGAAAGTACGCCACGAAGCGGTCCAACGAAGATGCAGACGGAAAATGATTGAAGTTGTCCTAACTGAAGAAAAACATCGATGTCGCCTCCGGGTATCAAGTTGAATACTCCTGACGTTGGCACAAAAAAAGCATCTGCCAATTTTGCCACATCCCGTAACCCCAAGACACCCAACAACAAAAATCACAATCAACAGCCAGAACTCGCAAAGACTCCCGTTCCATGCTAATTGTTGGTCCAAAAGTTCCACATACATAGATCATGGACACCTGGTTGATGGGTGGCGTACGGAAAACGTCCACCTCATAGCCCAAACCAGTGGCTTCTTCAAGAGTACAAAGGACGTTCTCCCGATTTGGCAGCCGCCAGAGGAGAGTCTAGTTTGAGGATTCGACGAAGACTGTCCTCCATGACACGAAGATCGGAGGATCGAGCCTCCTCGTCCTGTGTAACAATACCATTACTGGCGTGCGGAGTTGAAGGTATCGATGGCGAGGGTTGAGGAGAGCCTGTCATACCCTTGCCTCCAAACAAGTATTTCTTCAAGGCCTCGGAGCGGTCCTCGGATGGTGAGTTTTCCGAAGCTTTTGGTGTACAAGGTTGACTAGGACCGGCGCGGGCAGCCCGAATGCGGTCCTGGTAGGGAGTCGAAAAAGCAGGGCCAAGTGGCTTGCCGGGAAAGCCATCAAGCTCTGCCGAAGAAATGCCGCTGGAGGATCGCTCGAATGGCATTCGATGCCCCGGGTGGGTATTGTACGGTTTCGCGGCGAAGGGACTGTCTCTGAGCGCGGGAGCCGGCGGCGAGACAGGCCCCTGAGGCCGAGAAGAGGAGTGAAGAGAGCTTACTCGACGTGCCTTCTCCTTTTCAGCCCTATCTGCTCGAAAGATAGCATCAAGAGGAGACTCTCGGGCCACAGGCACAGTCGATGGATGGTGCGGAGTCGGTGCCTCATGCTCCGTCACTGGGGGAGATGGTTGCTGCTGAACTTCTCGTCTCATGCCCGGATTGCCTGGGGACTCGGGGATCGACTTCGAGTAGAAGCTAGGCATAGGCAGAGCTGAAGGGGCGGGAGATGCGTGGAAGGTTGCGCCAGCGAAGGCTGCAGCGGTGTTTGGCTTGTTGCTGACGGGAATGCTCTGGGGTGTTGACCGACGGTTCTGGCGGGTGTCTGGCGATGCTACAGGATTGGCACTGGGATTCTTCGCTCGAGGCTTGTTGCGAGAGCGCTGCTTGGAGCCGGTCTGAGCCCCCGCGGCCGACTGGGGATCTGGAGAACCCGAGTAGGACTTCTGAGGAGTGTGTGGACCGAACTGATCAAAGGCAGAATTCGACACATTTGCCATATCGTTCTCGGAGGCGTACATTTTCTGCCCGGCCGCCTTCCCGCCGCCATTTCGACCTCGGCGACGGTTGGTTGTAGGCTTCGCTTGATTGGTTGCCTCCTGCATACTGATGTCTGAAGGGACAATCTGGCTTGTCGCTTTTCGGCTTTCGGTGTTTTGCTTTGCGTTGTAATTAATGTAACGAGAGACGGCAAAGGAACGAGAAGAGTGCTTTGTGTACGGCAGTCTCGTGCCCAGAGCCTAGTCGGTACAGGCAGAGCGCTGTAGGTACGTAGGCTAGGTATGATGTGTTAAGATGAGGCAGGCTTGTCGGGTAGATCGGTTGACCGCAGAGTGAGTGCAACTATGGCTGTCGATGTGCCGCTGGGAGCGTCGTGTTGATGCTTAAAGATACTGGGTTTTTCGCTTTGGTTACGGGCGGATGATGATCGGATTGCGTGTTCAAGCGCCAGGAGGATGGTCTGTCTGAGGAAGCGGGTTTCGGGGAAGGGAAAAGTAGAAGCAATTATCTGATGCAGAAGAAGCGCGTGATGGTGCTCTGCTCATTGTGCCGTGCAAAAGGAGGGCGAAGAGTAGATAGGGTGACGCTGAAGCAGCGATGGGGTGGGCAGTGGCTGCAGCTGTGATGCGGCTAGGCAATGGCGAAAGAGGGGAGAGGGGCTTAAGTAACCCTGGCGCCAAGATTGGGCTCGTTCGGCAGGGCCTGGCGAGGCACGGCATGCCATCCCAACCTGTGCTGTTCCTCGCAACTGTCCAACACCACCGACCAAAATACATCCAATCAGAAGCAACTGAGCCACTGCTGTCCCTCATTTTCCGGGCCGTTCCCAATGCCAGCCTCACGATAAGCCACTCCTGCTATGATAGGCACCTCACCATCCTTGTTTCCCGTGCACCAAAAATGGCAGGGCGCGAGTCACTTTCCAGGACCAACTGCGTCACTGCTGTGACGCGGAGACAGCATGGTTGAGCATCTGTCTATATACTTTGAAGTGTGGACTGTGCTGCAGATATCCGTAGTATGACCTGGAAGTTCGTCAAGCTAAAGTCTTCAGCTGCTCTTGATGACTGCGAATCCAGCCAACAGCCCCGGCTTTCGGCTTCGGGATGCGGGCGGCAGAGAACTGAATTGGCGTCGCATTGCCCGCACCACTCGATCGATATTCGAACTCCCGTCATCAAATAAATGCCACCAGCTATGCGAGTGTCTCAGGGCAAATGGAACGCGGCACGGGTACCGTACCTTACCTGACAGGACCTCAGGTAGGGCAATGCTGCCATACGACTACGGTACCTAGACTATCTTCTGGCTACCGTACTGTACCTTAAGTAGGCACTTTTGAAATCCATGGATGGAAGCCAGCGGAAGTCAGAGCTGACATGAAAGGCACACTGAACTTCGCCGCACAACCTACCTCATCTACGTACCTAAGGTAGGTAGGTAGGTATCCTGAGTGGGGTGCTTATGGTATTCGTACCTAGGTAGGCACCATAAGGCACTTTCGGTACACTACCTAGGTACCTAAGTAAGGTACTCAGGCGTTAGGAACGTATCCGTAGGTACTATGCAGTAGGTGCCTCGCCCTCAGTTCACAGCTTAACTCCATCCAATCACAGCTCGCACCTGCCTACGAAACGGAGTTGCTTTAACCACTGGTAGCAGCCTTGCCTCGTCCCTCAGTCATTACCACCCTACCCTGCCAAAGGTAAGTTAAGCAGTAGTGCCTCACCAACGCAACGCCCGCGAGGACGAGCAGAACTAGCCACGAAACACGACAATAAAACATCCAAGAGGTGCGGAAAGTGGCATGGAATGTCTTCATTCTCCCGACCGCATCAACCCGACGTGTTCTTTCTTCCACGACAGCCTTCCCTGTCTACCTTCCTGCTGTACCCTGCTGTCACCTGCCGATTCTGCCACCTCTTTGACCTCACTGATCGATGCTGACCCTCCCCACCTCCAACCAGGTACTACAGCATCAGGAGCAACCAACCGTTAAATTCGAGAGCTCTTCTGCCAAAGTCCGATTTCCATCACCACTTCAACAACTCATCGACCCCGCCCCTCGACTCCCGGTCTTCCGCTTTCGCAGCACTCGCCGCGCCCCCCCGAAACGTCCACCGAACCCCGCCGTTTCTAGCATCCCACCATGGCCGACGTCGACATGACCGATGCCCCTGGCAGCGTCGTCAAGAAGGGAGCTGACGGTGACTCCAAGGCCGCCGACGGCAAGAAGCGCTTCGAGGTCAAGAAGGTTAGCATCTCGGACCAAGCATACTCTTTCTGAGCTTACGGATGGGTAGTGGAACGCCGTCGCACTCTGGGCATGGGACATTGTCGTCGACAACTGCGCCATCTGCAGAAACCACATCATGGACCTCTGTACGTCGAATAGAAGGACCATCGGCTGCTAAGCTGTTTCCCCGGACATACTGACACCACCACAGGCATTGAGTGTCAAGCGAACCAAGCCTCTGCCACGAGCGAGGAGTGCACCGTAGCTTGGGGCATTTGCAACGTACGTATTCTCGCCCGACGCAGCTGTACGTATGCTAACATTTTCACCAGCACGCCTTCCATTTCCATTGTATTTCTCGCTGGCTCAAGGCCCGCCAAGTGTGCCCACTGGACAACCGTGACTGGGAGTTTCAGAAGTACGGTCGTTGACATGGTGGTTACCCACGGGGAGATATTATTTCTTGGGTTTGGCATCGCATAGTCGCGCAGGAGCGCCTCAATACAGTCAAATGGTACAATGAATGGGCTGCGGCAATTTGCACAAAGCCGGCCAATGTGGCCGACCAGGAGGAGTAAAGGCACACGAGAAGATACGATACCATAGGAAGCACTGGAATGATTACGCCTAGCCTTATGACTGTTACTCTCGATACCCTTAGCCCGATTTCTCTATCGTAGCCACATTGCGTATACCCGTGCCATTAGATTCCAACCACTTCACCGGGTGTCGTTTATAGAATGGCCAAGGAGGCACAACGAGGAGAAATGTGAGGGCGGTGCCAGCGAGACCTATGTAAACTGCCAACTTGATATCTTGAAGCAAAAAGCCGACGAGGAAGGCGAGTGCCTAAAATTTAAACTGTTAGAAGGTCGCGGAGAAGAGGGATATGGTGTTGAAAGTTTTGAGGTGCGAACTTACCCCGGATGCTGAGAGGACGAGGGTCGCCAAGAGGTCGGCCAGCTTTTGGCCCTCAAAGTCCTGAGGAGAGGCAGACATCAGCGCAACGTGATTTGGATAAAGACGTCTTGCGGCACTCACAATCTGACCCTCGGCCAGGTCGCGCACCTGGTCGAGAATTTGATCAGCCATGCGGGCTATGGAAGGGAATTGTGTCGAAGTGAAGGACTGTGTGATGGTACGAGATGCTGCGTCTGGTAGCAAGATTGAAGAGCGATCGAGAAACGCGTGCAGCAAGGAATTGGCTTGGCAAGGAATAGAATCAGTCTGTCGGCCCGTAGATGTATGCCCAAAAAGTAAGAAGATGGGTATTTTGAGGCGATCAACGGATCAGGGTTACGAGGAGTCCGCTGGGTGTAGTTGGCGACAAGTATGCCAGTTCGTAATAGTAAGGTAGGTGCTTGGAAGCACGGACACTATGCTTGGCTCTACCTAAGTACGGACAGGTAGCAGCCCATTCGGCGGAAGCACTCGAAGCGATCCATGACACTGGAAGCACTTGGCTTGGTCGTGCACCACCCTTTGGAGGGGCACAATAGATCAGTGTACCGCGAACCGTTTGAACGGACCCACAAACTGTGGGCTTGCACGGTGCCGCCCGCCCGGGTCCACTCAGCTACCTACGCAACTGTGAATGTACACTAGCGCACTTCACTACTAAATTCCTACAGGGCACGTCGCACTGGCACCACAGCAGTCGGGCTCACTCAGAGGACCCGTGACAGACCACCCGCTGCAGCGACACTGGACGACTTTAGTTCCCCACCTCACTGCCCAACTGCTGGGCTGCTGTTGGCCGGAGCCAGGTAGTGCTTGACACCTGAAGGGAAAAAAAGTTCTCCTTCGGCTCGCCTCTGCCGGGCGTCTCCCTGGCTCGGAATTTTTCTGACAGCCAGGAAATCCTCTCCTCCCTTTTATGGCCTCTCTCTCTCTCTTCTTTACCACAGGAGAAACAACGAAAACTCGACCGCACCACCGCTCGAGGGCAAGTTCAAATCGTCCCAAGTCTTCCATTGCCGACGGCCAGTTTCTGCTCATTGCCTCGCACAGAACGAGCATTCCATCAGATCAGTCTGATTTTTTCTTTGACAATCGACTTTCGGGACTGCGACGGACGAACCTGTTTCCGGGCGACGAGTCCCGCATCTAGGGTTGACCCAAATAGACCGCCTCTCGTATCTCTGCCGCTGCTATCGCCAGGAAATCCCTCTTTCTGGTCCTTTATCGTCAAACCGCAAACTCGCGCGGAATTTTACCTTCGATATCGCACACGCTCGTCCGACCTCCCAGCACGTTCCGCGTAACTGCATCACAGTCCGGCATTATCGTCCTCGCCTGGCTTCATTTTCACAGGTCGCGAGACCCAACTGAACTACCCTCTCAACCAGAACACCACCAAGTTGGCTTCACTCGCAGCTGCCGCTACCTCCCCCTCCCGTTCACTCCTAGGTCCTGGTTTCTGGGTCTACAGCGGAGTGAACAAGAAGCCTCCATAACTGGGTTTCCCCATTGCCGATTTCATACCCCTTGGAAACATCACTGCGAAAACGTCACGCCGTCGCTCTGCTGGCATTTCCAGCGTTTATCACGGCTCTCGGGACTGTCGCCAGCCCTGTTTGCCCTGGAAGCTAGCTAGTCGTTCAGCGGACAGCGCGCCGCGGCCGCGCGGGGTGCTATCAACTGCGGTCTGCATCGCACGTCACTAAACGCATCAGTTATGGGTATCGCCATCTGAGTTGAGCGTTGCGGAGGCATTTGAAGAGAAGCGATTCCGAGTAACACATCTCATTCCTCTCCCTTACGGTCCTGTAAATCGACTGGTTCGCCTGTTTCATCGCGTCAATCGAAATACCAGCAACACCGCAAGCGTACTGTCAATAATTCTCATCATGTCGGACCACGAGGAGACCATCTCTGAGGGCACCTTCAAGACGCCGATCCCTGAGCTTGACGATCACCGTCACCAGGTCACGGCTGCCCCTCACCCAGAGCGTCCCCGTCGAGGCACTTTCGACACGCTTTACGGAGCTCGATTGCTGAGCCCCGAGTCGGCTGCAGCGGATGCATCAGCCAACATTCGGGTGAGGGACTTTGAAGAAGCAATTGTGGATGAAGAAGGGGCTGATGTCTCACCAACGGCTCGTCGTGTTCGTCGGCCGACGGTTGAGACCATCACTGATCAACGATCCGTGTCGCCGCCAAACTCCGTCAAGGCCTTCGCTGAGGCGCGTCGGCGTGAGCGTGGCATGTCCTTTTCTGAGTCTAAGGCGGAGCGGGCTGGTGACGAAGAAGAGCTGCACCGAGCTGTCTCAATCAGCAGTCGCCGAAGCCATCGCAGCCGGCCGCACACGGTGGACGATGGTGCCAGCCTGGCTACCAATCAGTCCGCCGAGGAAGACGTTTGCTTTCCTCTCCAGGAGGGTCGGCGCAAAGACCAGTTGTACATTGACTTCGACTATCTCGAGAACTTTGTTCAGTCGGATAGGGCCTCGCGGGTCAACAGCCGCCGCGAATCTCTTCGTGCCTTCCCAGACCTCAGGCCGCAGACATCTGAAGCTGTGCAGCCACAATTGCAGCTCCACACTGTTGATGGAGACATTCTCAACATGCCCTCGGACTCGTCCACGGGTCAGGATGCTCCCGAGAAGGAGCCCGCTGTGGATGAGGAGCCTAAGGCGAAGCAATCCCCAGCACAACAGCCGGTGGATCCCAACCGGTTCAGCTTCTTTTCTTCGGCGTGGGAGTCAACGATCCACGCTGCAGAACTCGGCGACCTCGTGCTACCCGGAGAGGACCTCCGCGGTCTCTTTGCCTTGCCTGCAGATGAGTCGGATGGTGTTTGGTGGCTGAACGTCAACAACCCGACCAAAGAGGAGGTTGTTGCTCTCTGCAAGGCTTTCGGTGTTCATCCGCTCACCATCGAAGATATCACAACGCAAGAGGCTCGGGAGAAGATTGAGCTCTTCCCCTCTTACTACTTTGCGAGCTTCCGATCGTTCCACGCAGTTCAGGAAGATGACGGCATCGAATACGAGCCCTTCAATATCTATGTCGTCGTCTTCCGTGAGGGTACTCTAAGCTTCAGCTTTGAGCCAAACGCACATGCGTCGCATGTGCGGAAGCGCATTGCCCTTCTCAAGGACTACGTTGCACTCAGCAGTGACTGGATCTGCTATGCCCTCATGTAAGTTTTTCTGCTTGCGCATGTCGGCAATCCTTGCTAACCTTCTCACCAGCGACGATATTGTCGATTGCTTCGCGCCTGTCATTCGTGAAATCGAAGTCGAGGCAGATGCTATCGAGGATGGCGTCTTCGTGGCTCGTGAGGACGACTCGAATGCTTTCCTTCGATCAATCGGCCGTGTTCGTAAGAACACTATGGCTTTGATGCGCCTTCTGGGAGGCAAAGCTGATGTGCTCCGGGGCTTCACGAAGCGCTGCAACGAGAACTACAAGGTCACTCCCCGCATGGATATCGGCCTCTATCTTGGTGACATCCAAGATCACGTCGTTACCATGGTCACCAACCTAGGTCACTTTGAGAAGATCTTGTCTCGCTCCCACAGCAACTACTTGGCGCAACTTTCGATCAACAGCATCTCGCAGGGCACGCACACGAACTTGGTTCTAAGCAAGATCACCTTCCTGGCATCCATCCTCGTGCCGCTGAACCTTGTCAGCGGTTTGTTTGGCATGAACGTTCCAGTTCCGTTCGCAGGGAGCAACACTCTCGCTCCATTCTTCACCATCTTGGGAAGTTTGATTTTCTTCTGTGTGGTTAGCTTGGCTTTGGCTCGCAGATACAAGTACATTTAAAGACACGGTCCTGTGTGCTAGGCGGATACTATGGCTGAGTGACCAGAGGAAATGACGGTAGCAATAAAGAAGGAGAGGATGGCATTGGGACTAGACTACGTAGTAATTTCACCTTTCTCTCGTTGCAATCGGGTCTGCTGACGATGTGTGTCAAATTAACCGTTGAACCGTCTAACAAAAGGGGGAAAATCGAAAGCCTCCATGCAGTGTGAGTTTATTCTCTACGGTAAAGTTGGGCATGTGTTTCTCGAGGTATGCTCCTTGCAAGCATGCGTAATGTCAAAAAGTTGGTCGTGTCTCCTCAGAAGAAAACTACGGTGTCCAAGCGAAGCGGATTCTGAGCCAATGTGGTGAGGTAGGTCCTACCTACCTAGGTAGTACTGAGACTAAGGTAGCGGGACCCAGAGTGGGGACATGGGAAAAAGTGTGAGCCAACTGAACCTTTGTTATTCCAAAACCTTCACCACGAAGAAGCGATTCAATCGCAACGACGCACGCCTCAGGTCTCCTATACCGTTGTTTCAAGGAAGATCGAAATCTGGAAATTTCTACATCACACGCAACCGCGTTGTAACACGACTTCTCCGGAGCGCAGCGTCAGACACGGAAGCCATGGAGTCATCTAAGCAGGCCCTCCAGAACACCGACCTGGAACAGCTCAATGACAAGGACAAGGCCGAGCTCCGTCAATTCCTTGCGAACGAGCAGCAGCGGTCGCAGATACAATCACGTGAGCACAATCTCCGATTCTGTAGAGCGCAGCGCGAGGCAGCATTAGGCAATCGAGGCAAGCGAGGAAGCTGACATGCAATCACGACAGAAACCCACGCGCTCACGGAAATTTGCTGGAAAAAGTGCGCCAGCGGCTCGATTCGCGGCTCAAAACTGGAAAGGGGAGAGGAGTCGTGCCTTGCCAACTGTGTGGACCGCTTCCTCGATGTCAACTTCCTCACAATGAAGCACCTGAACAACATGCGTTCGGGCTAGATGATTTGTATGCTCACATGGGCCGAGGAGGATGGGGCTCAAATACCGAGAGGGGAATGGAAGACGCCTCAGCTGGCGCTCATCTCATGTACAAGCATTGTAGGACTACGACATGTTACGAGTGATTGGATAGCACACTTCCCACGCTGCCATTGCAATTTAGTGCATACAATTCTAGTGATTACATTGATTGGCAAGCACAGGGAGCAAAAAGGAGCAGTTGTGGTTCGATGTGGTTCAATGTGGTTCAAAGACAGGGTCACGAGGGGCGGCAGTGGTTCCGCGTTCATATGCAATTTTTGAGACTCAACCTGGTCATTGTACCCCAGCTCGAGGACTGGGGAATCGATTTGTGCCCCTGGAATACCATCCTCGGGGATCTAATCAACAACCTTTAGACGCCAATGCCAATGCCGTTGCAGTCAATGAACCCGAATTGCTTTTTGTTCCCGTACCCATTCCCGTCATTTCAATGTTTAAACGAGAGCCAGCTTGGTGGCGGCGATGTCAAGAGCATCGACGTCAGGGGTGAGGCGGGCGTAGGCCTTCTTGGAGCCGTCAGGGCTACACCAGTCATTGTTAGTTCATTTGATGTTGATGGTCTGTCTGTTGCGCGCATGTCGCATCCAACTAAGGGGGAACTTCTCTTACCGGATCAGGGTGTTGATCTTGACGGTGTCGATGTCGTAGAGCTTCTTCAGGGCCTGCTTGATCTGGGCCTTGTTGGACTTGATGTCGACGATGAAGACGAGGGTGTTGTTCTCCTCAATCTTCTTCATGGCGCTCTCGGTGTTGAGGGGGTGGATGATGATCTTGTGCTCGTCGAGACGGGGCTCGTGAGGGATCGACTTGCGGGGGTACTTGGGGGCGCGGGAGACAACGAGAGTCTTGGGGCGGTGGAAGGAGGTCGTGTAGCGGACCTTGGTCTTCTTGTGGGAGTTGGCCTAAGAAGTTTGCATGTCAGCTTCGGTCGTCCGTCTTGAAATGTGCTTTCTTGGAGGAGGCGGGAGACATGGAGCGAGCAGTCGAGGTCGCCGCCATTCATCGATCCCGCTTCGTTCCGAGGAAGCGCCTCGTCAAGTTTTTGCGTTGTACTTACACCCTTCAGGGCAGCCTTGGCAGCAGCATTGGCCTGCTTGGAGCCCTTGGGAGCCTTGGAGGCACCGCCTGTAGTAGATGTCGCATCAGCAATCGCTCTTTATGATCAAAGAACTCGCAAAATCTGCTGCAGCATGATGCTCGGGAGGTTCGCCCCGTTGCCGTCGACGGGCAGAAGATTCATCGAGCTGGAAACATCTTGGAATGGTGTTGCTGTCAAGTACCTTTCTTGGTGTTAGGGGCCATTGTGAATGTTGGGGGTTGTTGGCTGGCTGGTCGGGTTAGCTGGCTGAGTCGCGGTTGAGGTCAAAAAAAGAAGGCTCTCGTGAACTTTTCCTTTTTTTCCCCCCCCAGATTCTGTGGTTCGTGTTAGGGCACTGGTTTTTTTTTTTCCCTCGCTTACATGATCCGTGCACCCTCGAGGCTGGGCTGCTAGAAGACCGGGACGGCGGGGGCCCGGAAAGAAACGCAATATCTATTCGCCGGTCGCTGACAGCGGAGCTCACCTACCTGAGGCACCTTAAGATCAGTTCGTGGTCAGGTCGGGAGAACCAATGGATGTCGAAATTTTGTTCTGAGAGATTCTTGACTACATGATACTCTATGGCTGCGCAATATCTCTCGAGCTTTGAGATTCTCTGATACTAGATCTGGTTTGTCGTGATCGCATCCCGACCGTCAAATACCCTGCACAATATTTCTTACCACCGGTATCAAAAGCCTTGTGCGGTCACACTTGTTCTTTCGAGAAGTGACGGCACATCAGCTATGGCTCGACAAAAACCAACACCGAAGCTTCTGTCAAGTGGTAGACCTCCAACTCTGAGAAAGGCGAAGTCGATTAGTCGGAAAGAAACCAGAACTCTCATCAACACTCATCACACACTACAGAAGAAGCGACAGCAGGCCTTGGCCAGAAACGACGAGAAAGAAGCTGCGGCTTTGGCGGCGAAAATCTCTGCGCTCGGCGGACTCAAGGAGTATCAACAGGCCAGTCTCCAGGGCCAAAGGACAGATCGTGGCGGAGACAGCTCAAAAGTTCTTCTGGACTGGCTGCGACCGGCGAATCTCCAATCAACAAAGACCATGGCGGCGGCGACGAGCGACAACCACGGCAGTACACGCCGCCGCTTGCGCATGCTTGAGGTGGGCGCACTCAGTGTCGGTAATGCTTGCTCCAAGAGTGGGCTTTTCGAGATGGAGCTCATCGACCTTAACAGTCAACAGCCGGGAATCCTCCAACAGGACTTCATGGAGAGACCTCTTCCCAAGGACGATACAGAGCGGTTTGATATCATCTCACTCAGTCTGGTTCTTAACTACGTCCCTGACCACTCGCTACGTGGGGAGATGCTTCTCCGTACGCTGTCATTTCTCCGTCAGCCCAACGACGATCTTCCAGAGAGCGCCCGCAACGTTTTCCCCTCACTGTTCGTCGTTCTACCCAAAAGCTGCATCTCCAATTCACGCTACTTCTCCCAGGGTCGACTTGTTGAGCTGATGACTCTCTTGGGATACGCCCAGGTCGGAGTCAAGCTCACGAACAAATTGGCCTACTCCTTGTGGAAGAGACAGGGCCCTGCTCAGCAGCCCGTGACCCCGTTTACCAAGACTGAGGTCAACCCAGGAGTGACTCGGAATAACTTTGCTATCACTCTGAAAGCTTCGTGACACCAGTGGCCCGGAAGTTGTCATTTCAGTACCGCTGTGGAACAGGCGAGAATGATGACTGATGAGGACACCCGGTTAACCAACGCGCGATCCAACACTACGGCCTCCGAAGTCGGGTGGAGAAACCTTACTCCTGTTCGAAGCAGATACGTAGCTTTATCCCTGGCTGCGGCTTCCTTTTTCAGGACGGCAATGGGCGATCAAAAGGGAGAACTCGACGACACAGTGGGATTCCTCAACAGGTGGCCTTGCATAGATCGACGGACGATCACTTGCGTTATCACCATGGAAATGCGCACTACAAAGTGTCACGTTGCCCAGAGGGTCAGCACCGGCTAGCCCTGGTGATATGCCCAGGTACCGTCTCTCCAGACTTCAAGAACCCCGCTCAAACGCCCCCATCCGCCGCTCTACACTCTTATCATCGGCATCAACAATGTACCGTGAAAAGGTGGCGGATGGCTCGGGGTCGGTAGAGTACCTGGCCGCTAGTTATCAGGAGATGGCTCGAGTGTTGCTTGCGAGCTCTAATTGAATGTGGCTGGACTGTTCATTTCGTTACCGTGAGAGATGAAGCTGGCATTTAACACCCGGATTCTTATATTGGATTCGTTGTGTCCTTGCTCGCTTTGCCCAGAGTTCAGCACTAAACCAATTGTCTAGGCTGGGCTCCGACTGGCGTCGTAGTGGCTACACATAAAGTTGTGGTACGGCGCTGTGAAGAGTTGGAGGGGGTCGCCTGGAACGGTCTTTGTGTGGATTGGAAGAAAGGAGAGCAGGAACAAGATTTGTGGATTCGCGGGAAGGACGGAGACGGGAGAGCTGAAGGTGATGTTCGCCGGATGCAGACTGTATTCGAGGCACCCCAAACGAACCCTCCCGATCGAGCTACAGCGTTTAGCAGGAGCATTTGCCGGCAAACCCGCAATCATTCGGCGATTGTCATTGTGTTGATCCATGATCCTCCAACTCATTGAAGTCCCTGATCGGCTGAGGGTTCATATCAGCCGGCAAAGGTGCGTTGCCCGGGCGAACGACGGGTATGCTTTGCATTCCTGCCGCAATGGCGGCTGAGACTTCAAGCGGATTGTCGCTGAGGAAGAGCCACTCATCAGGCTTGGTATCTTGAAAGTTGGATAAGATATTGGTGTAGCTGCTAGACTCGGTTTTGAGGCCGGCGTTAACAGTGTCGAACCAGCCAGAGATGAGGGGTGTCAAGTCCGACGGCAGAGCATCTGTGTGGGCAAAGAAGAGTTTCTGCGCGGGAACAGAGCCGGATGAGTAGATAACCAGGCGCAAACCGGCGTTTTTCCACGATAGAAGACGCTCAGGGACATCTTTGAAGAGGGGTGCCTTGATCTCGCCAGATTTGTAGCCCTCCTTCCAGAGATAGCCTTGGAGAGCCTTGAGGTAAGAAATCTTGACATCGCGGCTGACGAGGTCCCGGAAGTGAGCCTCGAAAGCGGAACGGTCAGACACGCAATCATCAGGGAAAGCGTTCCGGTAGTGAGAAAATTCAGGGCTGTCCCACTGCTTGTCTAAGGTGGCCGGCAGAACGTTGACAGCATAGGGGAACTATGGGGAGGATGAAGTGTCAGTACGGGACGCAGGGATTGTGCCGCCTCGGGTCTATGCGCACGGTGATCCGGCAGGAATGGACAAGCGACCTCCGTGGTAGGAGAAGGCAAGCGGCGGAGAGCATAATCGGGGTGTCACCCGGGACCCGACAGAACCGGGGTTGGGATGTGGAAGTGGCTGCGGGCAAGACAATCATACCAAGACATCTTTGACAAAGGAAATGGGGCACACGGTCCCTTCTGCAATGCGGGCGAGTGGTTCAAATCAGCGTGAGTTCTCTTATCAACTACAAAACAAATCCATCCAGGTCCGAAAATGTGTGGATGCGGGGAGATGGAGGCTCACCGATGTCAAGCAACACAACCTTGACACTGCCGACTTTCGGTGCCATGGTGGGCTGTTCAGGCACGATGTACGTCGGGTGTTTTTGCGTCGGTAGTGGCGGTGACCAGGTGAGAAGAAATATGGATAGAGGTGAGACGGTGAGGACCGGGACGCGACGCGCGAAATGTCAGAGGAACGCGAGAAGGGTGAAAGAAAATCCTTCAGTGAGGTTTCGCGTGTTGTGAGTTGGTATGTCCTGTAGCTGACTTGACCAAGCTGACACTGGTTCATGCATGAGGTTGGACGGCGGGAAATTGCGAAGAAGGCGGTCAAGCCAAACCGGAATTCAAGAAGGCCCGGAAGGGGAAAAGGATGCAGCGTCGTAGGTAGGTTGGGTTGCAGCTGTCGTAGGTGTGTGTGTGTGTGTGTGCGACTGCGAGCTGTACGAAGGTGGGGGTGGGGTCGACGAATGAGGCGCCAAAGAGTTACACAAACCTTCTCCGGTAGGCCCAATAGGAGCAGCATGTCAAGACAGCTTAAGGCTAGATGAACCAGCGGTGAGCCCGTCCGTTGGCGACAGCAACAATAACAACGACTACGACAACACCACGATCGCATTGAAAACACGTTGCGGGAGGACCGAGTGTTGGACGAGCTGGGCCCTTGAAAGCGCCGGACGGATTCGGCACGGGAGCCGGAAAGGGAACCGGCGGCGGGAGCTGTCACGAGTCCGTCGGCGGTCAGGCCCCATGGAAAGGCAGAGAACGACGGCGGTGACTCAAAGGAAGCGCCAGAAGCGAGAGAAGAAGAAGAAGAAAACGCCGACAACTGGCCACCACCGGACCATAGTTAGGTGCGCACGGGTACCTAAGGTAGATTCCCAAAGGAGAGATACCTTACCTTACCTTACCTAGGTAAGGTAAGTAAGAGAAGAGGCGGTTGGGGGTGAGGACGCATCCGTCAGCCACTCAGGTATTGTCAGTACCTGGCAACCTGGGACCAATTTCGATGCGCAGCAAGGCGCCATAAGCCAGAGAAAAGCCACACCAAGGTCGTCCACCGCCGACAGTCCGCCGTGCCTAGTCCCGGTCGCAGGTCCAAGGCAGTTGTTGTCAGCCAATTGACGGTAGCAATTTTGCGTGTTTTCATGCACTTGCCATGGTATGGGCCAGATACTCGTAGCCACGAGCTGTTGAACCCCTTTGTTTCTCGCCTCCCATCTTGTCTCGATCAACAGAGATAGATCCACTTGACCAATAATGTCGACGTGTCTCGCCGAGAGGCGTTGGGCGAACGGCCACAACACGACGGAGGACGCCTGGCAGTTGCGCCATCGTGGTGCCTGACGAGCTCAGCTATCACCCACTCACCAACTGAGTCACTCATATAGGTGAGGTATCGGACACGGAGGCGACACGTTGGAATGTGCCCGGCAGGCAGCAATGCGGACCCGGCTGTCCACATGGTCTCTTATCGTCGCCGTCGCCGCTGCCGCCACCCCGATAACGCTGCGGAACGAAGGGAGCCCAGGGTAGGGGAAGCTGCAAGCTGCTGCAGAAATGCCTGGTCGGGACGTAGAGTGGGTAACTTTGCAGCAGCTCTTGCAGCATTCTCGTGGCAGAGGCTGGAGACCTGAAGCTCTAATCTGGCCCGTACTGGACCGTAGGAGCTTGCAGCGGGAATCCGCACAACCCGCTCCTCCACAGATCCTGCTTCACGCGCGACGCTATTGCCGCTAAACTTGCCGTGATCAGCGGTACCCAACTGCAGCACAACATGCGCCGATGTTTGTTCACTACCTAGGTATCTGAGGAAGCCGAGGACCAACGGGAAGCTCGACGCGAGGGACGAATTACCATACATACCACACCCAATCTACAAAAAGCAAAACGCCAGCAAAACGCCAGCATTTAGCCGGCGACCCATAACAGCTTAGTGCCAGTTCAGGTGCAGCGTTGCAAGATAAGACATGAGGGAACTTGGACATCGGAGCAGCATCAGCTGTTGCTCTATTTGAGTGCTTGCCTCTTGGTCAAGTCAAGACAAGACAGGACCAGTTGTCTGCGTACAGACTACGGATAAGCACACAGCACGTTGTTGACGGGACCGTCTCCCGGCGGCCGAGTCGCTACTCCGCCCGAAATCTACTTCCTCCCCGCCAGCCGGTCACACGGCTAGAATCCGACGGGGGGACTGGCGGTACCGGGGCTATAAGGAAAGGGTGGACAGGAACGGCGACGTCTGATGCAGACAAGCCAATATCGAACGCACCGAATGACGCCTTTGCTCATCTCATTTCACCGCCTTCGGAGCTTCCCCTTGTCCGGCGTGTAGCTGAGGTTGGCGACACGGAAGCAGACGACTTCGAGTGGGTGAGCTTACGGCATGTGTCAGTCTTCGCTTTGTATTAATCGGCTAGATAGAACGTTGTGAACATCTGCGTACGGCTGCGAGGTTTCGCGTTGTCTACAATCTGTGAGCCAATTTGGGTTCATGGGGATGACGAAGAGCGCAATGTCTGAAACACCCTCGATTACGGCCATGGGCAGCCAAGCCAACGTTACGGGCGCTAGTCAGCAGCTGTCGGACCAAAGCAGCTCGTTTGGAGGGACTGTGGAGGGGTCAGATCAGCGTTCAATCACCGGACGAAGGTTTGACGTTGAAGTCTCGGAGTCGGAGGAAGAGACAACACTACGACGTTGCCTTGGCACAAATGTAGACGCCTGGGTGGGATAGGCGCTGATATCGTACAGACACGTTGTTCTGTTGTTCTATACTAATTAACGCACTGCACACATACGGTGAAGATCACGAAGCTATGCCACGGCAAAGTTGCTTCGCGTCATCTTAGACAGAGAATGCGTGCGAAGATAAGATGAGGCATGTGAAGTATACGACTTCACAAACATTAAGCTTCAGCTTATCAGGCTCCAATTGCACAGCGACGAGACGATACGTGATCCCGTGCTTCTACACATTCTAGTATCTGTGCAAGTAGCGGTATCTTATCACCGTCCGTGGTGAGGGAGAGAGGCACGCAATTCCAGCGTCAGACCCGGGTGAAAGGCGGGGCTTACGCCAGCTTTCGTCTGATGCCG